AAACAGAAACCTGGTATCTGATGAAAGACACTCATTCTTTGGTCTGTGGGAACTCTTGACCAAATTTCCTATACCAACACCCTCCCCATTATTGCCTCAATCCTAGGAGGAAAAATTCCTCAGATCATACCTTGTTTTGATAATTCTCAATTTCTTCCTGCAAAAAGGTCTGCCACGTTATCTGCTGGAGCTCTTCTCTCAAGTATTGGCAGGTTTCCAGATGAGATTTAGATATATTCTGTGCAAGGTGTTCTAAGGAGAAAACAGGAGATCACAAACATGAAAAGCCAAGTTCTTTGAATAACGTGATTTAATATTTGCTTTAAAAAATAACAAGTAGAAAACAATGTCTGTGTGGGTTTTGACTGTCTTTACACATTTAAACAAGTAATTTGGAACTGGTTTGTATTTGGGAACATGAAAGAGGATAGGGACTTTGCAAAGCCAACATTTGAAGATACGACTTGGTGACTTCAAAGACCCTCCTGACTTTGCCCTTGTTCTGTGTCTTTATACTAATGTCTAGGAATGATAAAATACTGACCTAGATAGACATAGGAAATGATTAACCTGGTGTTTCTTCTTGGCATTTTTATGAAGACACATCTGCCACATAACATTGACCTGGGAAGGATTATTCTTATTCTTGAAAAACTAGAAAATGATATTCTTTTATGGTGACAACTAGGTATTTATTTAGTTTTTCCTGCAAATTGTAGAACAAGCATTACTGAGGGCCTACCATGTGGCTATGCATAGTGTAGTTGTGAAGTCATAGACTCTGGAGCTAGACCATTTGAGTCTGTATCTCAGCTCTGCTACTTACTAGCTATGCGATGTCGGGTATGTTATTTAACCTCTTTGTGCTTGGTTTCCTCATTTGTAAAATGAGGGAAATGGCACCTATTTCACAGGGCTGCTATGAGAATTAAAAGAGTTGAGCCCTTAGAATGGGGAGGATTACTTAGAATGTGCTACAGAATATTAGTTATTATACTTGAGCTTAAGGAGTTTGAAGATATTAAAGACCTAGAGGCCAAAGAAGTTTTCTCTAGGAACTTGTAATCTGGTAAACACATACGAACACACTGGAAGGACAATTCAAGACATTAGATAATAAGGTATAAAGCTGAATTACCCAGAAGAAGAGAAAGAAAAAAGTAATTGAAGCTGTCAGAAATGGAAGAGATTGGCTGGGTGTGGTGGCTCACGCCTGTAATCCCAGCACTTTGGGAGGCTGAGGTGGGCAGACCACTTGAGGTCAGCAGTTCAAGACCGGCCTGGCCAACATGTATCTATTAAAAATACAAGGGCATGGTGGTGGCCGCCGTGATCCCAGCTACTTGGGAGGCTGAGGCATGAGGTCTAGAGTTTGAGACTAGCCTGGCCAACATGGTGAAACCCTGTCTCTCCTGAAAATACAAAAATTAGCTGGGTGTGGTGGCGGGCACTTATAATCCCAGCTACTTGGGAGGCTGAAGCAGGAGAATCACTTGAACCTGAAAGCCAGACATTGCAGTGAGCCAAGATCGCACCACTGCACTCCAGCCTGGATAGCAGAGCGAGAGTCCATCTTAAAAAAAAGAAAAAGAAAAATAAAATTATATCTGGGGAGATGGAACAAGCAGTTTTGTGCTTGGTGGATTGCAGCACAGAGAAGCTCAGGCAGGAGGAGGACCACATGGAAGGCTGCTGGAATCTAGATGCCAGGAACTAACAATTTGGAGTAGCTTGGTAATAACTGTCCTGGAAGGGAAGGATGATTAAAGAAGTATTTTTTTAAAAAAAGAATTGACAAAATCCCATGAATATAAAACCATATCCAAAAATGATCCCTCTCCCTAGGGTTTTGACCATAGAATAGGCAAGCCATTTTAAAAGAATGGTGCTGAATGCAAACTTGGCAACACTAGGGAAAGTATCTATTTGTTTGGAAATTTCTTACTGCTTTTGTCAAACAGAAGCAGACTTGTTTGTGTGAAAACAGAGCAGGTTCACCTAAATGGAGCTGGAAACCAGAATCTCCTTAGAGACACTGAAACATAATAAACCTGAACGGCCCTTCTTGGAAACACACAGACACTAAAACAGCATGAATAAATAACATAAACACACACACACACAAATAAAAGAACAAATGTAAAGGAAAGAATGAGAAACTGAGAGTGAGAGGGAGAAGCCAGTAAATTATGTGTCTTAGAATCAATGACGCTTGAGAAGAGGTGAGTAAAGACAAAAATAATGGGGAGTAAGAAACAAGAAAATACATAAATAAGGTAGTGAACTACCTCTTTTGGAAAGAACTCTCACTATATAAGATCGTTTCTAGAATGTAAACCAATTTTTGCCAATAAAAAAATGATGAAGATGAAGAGTTCACGGGGAAGCAGGGGGGAATGCTGTGGAGTGAAGGATGAGAAGAGGCTCATATCATTTCCTTCCAGGTTATGCTTCATTTCTAGTTAATAAGGTACTTGGCATCTTGTGGTTTCACTTTGTCTTAAGAAACTGTGGCCACTTACCCCTACCTATTTAAAACAGCCAATAAAAAGTGAGACAACAAATCATGCAATGTACATGACATACCAGTAGAGGGCAGTGGTTGCATTCACACCATCTGCTCACCAACAGCCTTTCATTCCAATTCATAGTCGATTTGGCAAATGTAAGATTTTAGACACTTTGCTATTTTAAAATCTCCATTTCAGCAAACGCGAGTATGGTCAGGCTGAATAAAAGTCGAGAATTTAAGCGTGGTCTCTCAGATAAAGTCTGGAATAGTGAAATACTTTGTGCTAGGAGTTAGGAGACCTGGCTTCTGTCTGAGCTCAGCAGATAATCTATCTACCTCACTTTGTGACTGGGGCAAGTCATGTGCCCCAACCATGACTGCTTCAGCAATACAGCTAGCGCTTTGATACTCCAGATGGGAAGTCCTGGCTTCTGAGTTAGTCACAGATTTTCACAGTGGGAAGGAACTTTAGAAAGCATCTACTCCAAACTGTCCTTGTTTAACAAATAATAATGACATTAAGAATTATGATAACAGTTAACACATTATAGCATTTACTATATGCCAGTCCCACCTAATTTGTATCTATCCTAAATATATGTGTTTTCTCACTTAATCCTTATAACAACCCCAGGAGAAAGGTACTAGTATTATCTCCATTTTACAGATGAGGAAACTGAACCACAGTGAAGTGACTTCTTCAAGGTGTCACAGCTGGCAAGTGGCAGAGCTATGATTGAGACACAGACCTTTATATTCTAGGGGTAGAGAAATTACAGCTCGCAGATGTGACTTATACTGGGTTGTACAACTTATATTAATGCTAGGACCACAACCCATATAAGTGGATTTCTTGTCTCATGCTTGCCCAACATATCAGTTGTTTCTCCTGTGCAAAGCTTTAGATATCAATTATAGTAACAAACATAATTTGCACTTAAAACCTAGGTTGTTTATCTGGAATGTATAATTCAGGTACTAATTGTACACCAAGGGCAAAATTTCCTAGCCAAGGATGAAGACATATTTTTCACTAAAAGTAATAGGTTGTGCATACTACACTTGAAAGAGAGAATTGGACTTAGGACATGTTGGTTTATAGTTTATCTTCCTATTATATAATTGGTTTCATTTGTTTAAAATCTGATGACGAAGTTTAGCCTAAAATGAAGTCAAGAGTCTTAAAGAGATAGCAGGCTGTAAGCCCCAAAAGAAATACCAGGGAAATGTAAGTAGCTTTGGAGAAGCAGCAACAAGACTTGGGCCACTTTCATGATACTCTTAGCTCCCTGAAACACTTTGCATGCATAAATGGGATAAGAGAATTACAGCCCAATTATATCCTTTCCAGATAAAAGCGAGTTTAGTTTTGGGTTTGGGAATTCTCCTAGTGATGATCTCATTTAATTTATCCTGGAAAATGCCACAACACCTGTGAAAAATTCCTAATTTAAAAGCACATAGAGCAAGCAATGAGGGGGCAGGGCTCCCAGACTGCACTGGAGAGTGAGACCACGGAAGAGGAAGCTCACTTGTCCGGGAGCCTCAGGGAATCAGCTCAGCCATCTCTGGCCCCACTTCGGTGTCAGTGCATTTTTTAGCCAAAGTGCCATGTTCAAGGGCAATGCTTTGCCTAAGGCCTATGGATTTATTTCAGGATTGAACATTTGACAAGCAAACAGGACAGAGTCACTAATATTTATGGTAAGGTGGAAGCAAACCTAAAGTGAGTCAGGTCATTTTTCATGGTATCATGTCAGCTTTCAATCAAATCCTTATTCATATCTGAAAATTTTACTTTCATTACAGTTCTGCTTAAGGCTCAGCCAACCAAGATTTCATGACAAAAATGGAAGGTTTTTGTTCTAGTTCAAGAAAAAAAAAAAAAACCAAACCTACCTTTGCTCAGCTTGGCTTCTAGTTCAGAGGTTTCTCTGTTAATCAAAAGAGCTGCAATACACCTTTTAATGCTGTTCAGTGGTTAAAGACCAGGCTGAAAATGTCTCTGCTCTTGAGGATTTAAATTTAGACCCATAAAGAGATGCTTGTGTAAAAACTGTAAAGAACATTCAATTTGTTCTATTTGGAGAAAGATTTTACTGGAAATATAAATTTTCACTTAAAAGATGTTTTATGGGGTGCAGAGGTAGAGAAACCGTCTAAAGAACACAGCCATTATTTCTGTGAACTGAGGATTTCTGTGCTCAAGTCTGAACCTGCTGTTTCTTTTCCATCTGAAGTCTTCATTCTCTCCTCGTATTAACTTAGTCATCTCCACAGCAACTAATTGAAATATCCCAAAGGATTATAACCTTGTGTGAGGAACCACCAGGAGGAGCAGATCAAATTCAAAAACTACAAAGGTTCTTATCAAAGTTTTTCTAATAATAGTGCTGTACTTAAAAATCGATTAAATATAGCAGTGGATGTTAACACAACCTCCTTGAAATGGAAAGTTGCCCATTGTCTGTGTTATCAACATTTCTAGGTCACATCTCCCAAGAAGCAGTAATGTTCCAGCAATAAGAAAAGGACAGTTTTTTGTCTTTTGCATGGTGAGCCTTATATGAATTACATCAATTTTGTCACCAATATCCATCAACAGATAATTCTGGTAAGTAAAGCAGCTAATTTCTGTTGAACATTTATATTGTATATCAGAGTTGCAAAACTTAGATGCCTACAGGGGCTGTGCGTATGATATAAATGGCAGGAGTGGGGTGGGCCCATTGAAAGGTGTAAGCCCCTGGCTGTTGCCAGTTGGCTGTTGCCATTCACAAATGTTGGCCCACTGTAAATAGATCATTTTTTCCCCTCCCACAAGAAGCTAAAAAATCTGAACTTTTGGGTATAATTATCCAAATTTAAATATTAGCAACTGATTCAAAAATTTTAAAACTGCACTGGTCAAAAAAATACGTCTATGGGCCAGGCCAAGTTCAGTTTGTGGACTGCCATTTTTTTTGTCACCTTAGGTATAAAGCAATCCCTGGAATATAACTAAACCACTAATGAAGTTAGCCATTTCCTGAGCTTCCAGTTTTCTGCAGAATTCAAAGACTGCTTCCGTTGGTTTTGTCCCATTTCTAATGCTGCGAGGTCAATGCAGGTATTGGATAAACCATGGGAAACAGCACAGGGTCAAAAGCAAGGGGGCAGGGCAGAAAATGAAGTGGCCCAAATGATAAAGGTGAATTGCAACATTTAGCAGAACTCATTAGAGGAAAGTCAGACATGCCCCTTTTACTTTAAAGGGCATGAACAGAGCATCCCAGGAGAAGCATGCATGCCATTACCTAATTCTGCCATGGACACAGTTGGGGAAGTCTCGCCGTTGGTGAATGAACAGTAGGGAAAGAAGCCTGATGCTGGTGTGTAGTCACATATTGGTTCTGGTTTGATTCCATTGATATCAAGACCTGACTGGTCTGGGGAAGGCTGTATGTCCAGGTAGAAGCTGCTGACGGCGGAGTCTGCCTTACTCCCCTCAGGGGTGTGCCCGTCAATGTAGTTACTGAGGTCGTCGTGAAGTTCCGTCAGCCCATTGGCCGAGATGTTGTAGGTGGGCGTCAGCGGCTCGGCCTCTCCAGGCTGCTGCTGGTGGTCGCGCTGCTGCTGCTGCATCCGGTGTTTCTGCACTTCTGCATACAAGCTGTCTCTCTGCTTTTTTGACATTCGGCCAAATTTTACAGCTGGAAGAAAAAAGCCAAACCATACTACATACAATGCGCTTTTCTTCAATATTCTCTCCTGTGAGCTTTGGGATTTCCTTTGAAGTCTCAGACAATCTCAATCCAAAACTGCATGACCACAAAATAAGGACATATTCAGAGGTGAAAACAGTTCCAACCCACACAGGCTCACTCCAGCTCCCCAACAGCAAACACACATCCCAGAGAAACTCATGTTGCAGAAGGAGACCTGGTGCAGGTAGGAGAGGCCCAGAGAGATGCCATCTCTGTTTTCCTGCTGTCACATCCCCACTCTACCCACTGGGCCCCACTGATAACTTAATGGGCTGTTCACTCTCCCTCTGTGCAGCTGGTTTAGGCTGCCTCTTTCTCTCCCACATGCAGACCAAGGCGCAGGGAAGCAAAGACTCACAGGGTTCATCGAGGAGTAAAAAGCAGCCAAACCTCAGCGCTCATTCAGTTCACCGCCCTGTGCGCTCCGACAGTCCTCCTTGATCAAATGGCTAATTCTGCAGCTGCATTGTGAGGTCTGAATGAACTGGACGAGGCGTCTCTAATTCTTTGAATTACATCAGAGTACCTGACCCAAGAAGCCCCTCCTCCACTCATAGGTCCCTGTGGAACCCTGAGACCCATCTTTTTATTTATTTATTTATTTAGAGACAGAGTCTTGCTCTCTGTCACCCAGGCTGAAGTGCAGTGATGTGAACATGGCTCACTGCAGCCTCAACCTTCTAAGGTTCAAGCGATCCTCCCACCTCAGCCTCCTAAGTAGCTGGGACCACGTGTGCACACCACCACACCCAGCTAATTTTTTCACTTTATGTAGAGGTGGATTTTTGCTATGTTGCCCTGGCTTGAGGTCTGGAACTCCAGGGCTCAAGCAATCCTCCAGCCTCATCCTCCCAAAGTGCTGGGATTACAAGTGTGAGCCATCACACCCAGCCGGACCCATCTTTAAACACTTTCTGCTGTTCTCATTTAGCCTCAAGTAATCACAGCATCAGGATTTGGAAAGGACAAATATGGTGTTATAATATAAGATCCTTATAATATATAATCCTCATTGGGCAGATTTCTGTTTGTAATGCTTCTCTTTGGGATGTGTCCCCATATTTAAAGTGGAGCCATCACTATAGTAACTTTCCAGTTCATTCAGAATATCAAATGAATTCTTGTGAAACACCAAGATAATTGAAAACAAAAACAAACAAACAAAAAACCCTATGATTTCCTGGTCTGACTTCTTCCATGAACTCATTGATTTTTCAGCTAGACTCAGCCTTTGCTGGAGGGACTTAGTTCTCCTAATAGATTGTGATTAAATTTATAGCTGATGGGGTGGATGCATCCATCCATTTGACTATGATCATAGTTATGAGAGTCCAGGGCAGGAGGCAGGATAGATGGACACAAAGTTGGGAACCAAAGCCCACACAGTGGCCAGGTGGTGAATTCTTTTCTTGCCAACAAGGACGCTCTGTCCTTGTTCACAGAGGAAACAAGTGAGCTGGAATACTGGTCACTTTCCAGTTTCCACGACTCAGATAACAAACTTGGGTGGGGCTTCTCAGGCAGCAACCAGGCTGATGTGGGCTCTGAGTTTCAGAACCATAATTTCATAACCTCCATAATTCATTCTATGCCTACAACAACTTGTGCTATTTCTTGTATGCAAAATTTTCAGAAGGCATACTGAAGGTGCTTAATGTTTTGGAAAAAATTTTCTAGGACACCTAAGGGGCCTAATACCCACAGGTGAAACTTTCTGCTGTGACTCTGCAATTATGATTTAACTTTTGTCTTAATATTAACAACGGTAATTATATCCTGTAAGTGAAATAAAGGGACCAGCTCTTGAGAAAATGCACACACAACTTGTGATTTGAACTTACAAATGGATGAGATATACCTAACTTTGTCAGTGTAGTACCATCAGAAGATGAAATCTGCTGAGTTGCATGTCACAGGAATTTCTGAGAATATGGTGGAAGTTCTGTGATTTGTAACTTCCAATGACAAAAGCTTCACTTTTGTAGTGGTGCACAGAGTGGCCTCTTAGAATATGCAGGAGCAAAAGTGAACTCGTGCCTATGTAGGTCTATGGGCGCTAAGAACATCAGATTACGGGGAAGGCAGACTGTTGGAAAGCCTGCTCCGCATTCTGAAGTATTTTTCCACAGGCTGAAATTCCACTGGAGGAGACATTTTCCTTCAAAGGGATCTTTTAAGAGAGCCAGCTGGTATATTTGGAAAAATCCTTAAAATGGACCCGCTGTGCTTTCTGCCCAGTTTCCACGTATAAGCATAACTGTCTTGAAATCTGGTGTCGATTATTCAGTGCACTTAAGATAGTTTTCCAGGAAGATCTTGAAACGTTTTGTACTTGAATGATAGATGGTCTCTATTCCTTAAAGTAGCTTCGTTTAATGAAAAGAACACTTGTCACTGAGCCATGCTTTGCACTATTTTCACACATTCTGTATGTACAAATAGTTGGCTTTGGCATGTGATTCAAAATATCCAGTTAGCATAAAAGCGGCTTCATCTCAACCTCCAATAGACTTACTAGTGTAAAGCAAGTAACGATTGTGGTTCACATTTCCTGTGGGGGAAAATGCCTAGAGGAGGCATCTTTAGTAAGGCCCCAGATGACACTTACCGTCAATCAATCGACCCACCTATAATGGCTGAAATATCAAAAATCTGAAGGTGTTCTGACCACGAGACACTTCTCCTCCACACCACCCCCACCCATCAGCCAGCTGGCTGACACTGAGGATGAGGAGGAGGAGGAAGCGGCTGCTGTGAGTTCTGTGAAGCTGCCAGAGGAGCATGGGGGGCGTGAGGTGGAATAATGAAGGGGGGTGGGGGGACATAAGGTGGAATAATGAGGAGGGGACAGGCGGGGCAGATATTGGCAGATCTGAGTCCAGGTTTTAGAAGGCACTTTCACAACCCCTTGCAACTGTACAACTCAAGCTGTGAGAGCTCACCATCTCGAGACATCCCTACGGCAAGGCATTTCTGTAATCGACAGTGTTGGCAGCGGTTTCTACTGGTTCGATCAATCAAACAGTTCTTCTGACGAGGACAGGAGTAGGTGGCATTGCTTTGCTGACTTCTCCTGAAAAAGCCCTGTGATACGGTTATAAAATATAAAACAGGTTAGTGTCAGAATGAGTGGTATGATACTGAAGGCAGGATGCTAAGCACTGAGCGGCATTAATATTTAATGGAGACTTAAACTTGTAGCAGAATCATCCAGGAGACCATTAATGAAATTAAAGTCACTTCTTTTTCCTTGAGTAAAATTGATCCCCAGGGCCTAATCCTCCATCCCTTATACATGCAAAACTTTCTTTAACTTCAACAGACAGTTGCCCATGTAAAAGGCATAGGACCAGGTCCTTGTTCTTGGCTTCTGATGATCAAAAGCAATGTGCCTGAGGGAATGATACAAAGGGACTTACCTTTAGCCTTTATCTCCAAGAGATTTTTTTGTACAATAAACACAAAACACTTCCCTGGAATCTCCAAGTTAAGGAAAAGGCAGCCATACCATAACCTAGGGCACTGTTAACCTGGTGAACCATGGTAATCTTCACTAGCCCACTTCAACACATGGCCCGTTAGGCGTTTCTCACTCCCCAACTTCGAATCTACTATTGCAAGCATTAGATAACACTTGGATGGATTATTTTGGCAGATCAATCAGAGGAAACATTCCCTCATCCCTGACAGTTTAGAAATACCATATGTTCAGAACCATGGCCTTTAAAGATTGAACAAATCCAGTCCGATGCTCATCAAGTTCCTCTCATGTGTCAAGCGCTGTTTGGGAAATGAGAGGGGATACAAAGATGTATAAGGATCTACTGACCTCAATAACTTTATTTTTGTTTGTTTGTTTTTGCTAACT